TGAGTAATATGAACATGCCTATCAACTTCTGTGAGTAATATGGACATGCCTGTCAACTTCTGTGAGTAATATGATCTAGCTCTAATTCAATGTCAATGAGTTGCTTCAACATGAAAGAAGAGTTAGAAGTGGCACAAATTTGAAATAAATGGATGTTTGGAGCATGGTGATGCAGTTCACTAAAATAATCTTCTTATTCATTTTTCAAATGTCTACTGCTCAACATAAAAACCCTTAGAGCTGTGTCGTGCATTGCTGTGCATGGTTATTGTGGTCTTGTATTCTTTTCCTTATTGAGTTTTCTTTTTTTCTTTCAGCCTTATTTTATTCTCCTATGTTCTTCCTGTTTTGAGGTTTTAGTATAGTTCTTTTTGGTTTGTCTATAATGGTCAGTGCCATAAGCAACTTCAAGTTTGATACCGTATATTGTTTTCTGGAGTCAATGTATACCGGTTACTGTTAGGCATTCTAATCTTAGGTTTATGTATTTGTTTACAGCTGGAAACATGCGTCATTTGATAGTTGAGGCCTGTATTGCTAGAAGTCTACTGGACACTTCTGCATATTCCTGGCCAGGTTATGTTAATGGACGCATCAACCAGTTACCTCATGGCATGCCAACTCAAGGGCTTGATTGGTCGTCATTTATGTTGGGGGCTATGCTTACTCCAGCAATGGCTAATTCTTTGGTTTCCAGTCCTGCTTCAAGGTATACTAGCTTTTAACCTTTTAATTACGTTACATTTAGTAATTCATGTTGTAATTAAATTAGTTCCTTGCTGCTTTTCTGGCTTGAAACCGCTGTTCCTATACTACATGTGTCAAATATAAGTGGATAGGCAGTTTTTTTCTCTCTGGTAACTGTTGATTCCTTAAATTGGATTACCACTTGTGAAGGCCCATCAATAGGTGATTTCTAAGTTCTCGGTTTTTGAGTTCATACATAAATGCACTACTTAGGATGGAGGTTTTACACGGGTTTACATTTGGTTCACAGGAGTTTAAGAATCTAATAATCTAATTGATGTCGTACATGGATACCTTTGGCCACTAGCGTTATGTTTAAGTGGCGGGGTAGTGTGCAAAATATTAAAGGGGAACTCTGTATAGATAGATGACCCTTTAGATTGCCTTTTTAAGCTTCTTTGATGATGGCCTGGTCTTCAGTTACTCCTTTTTCTTTCCTGAAGTCAGGTATATCAGATGCTCTTTTTTGTAAATTTACCCAAAGGTAAAGCTACTGAATTAAGCTCATGGATTTGATGGAAGCTTAGCAGAACTCGAGAAAGTATTTGAGGTTGCAGTCAATGGATCCAACGGTGAGAAGATTTCTGCTGCTACCGTTTTGTGCGGCGCCTCACTAATAAGAGGATGGAATATACAGGTGAAGAAAACAATTTTGTTAAGACTTGATATATATTCTGATTTCTTTGCCCCCAATAGCACAATGCAGTTACTTTTTCGCACTTGCCTGTTTGAATACTAAAAGTTCTTGCCATTTTCTACCAATCACTCAGCTCTCTAATTAACATATGGTTCACCTGTTATGCAGGAACATACTGCTCATTTTATCATTAGATTACTGTCCCCTCCGGTTCCGGCTGATTATTCTGGGGATGACAGCCATTTAATAGGTTATGCACCGATGCTGAATGTCCTCATTGTTGGAATAGCATCTGTAGACTGCGTTCAGATTTTCTCTTTACATGGCTTGGTAGGTATATGTTTTACTTAACTAAATGTGACGGATACAGTATAATCTTGTTAGGGTTTGTCACATCTTAGATTCAGGGATTGAGCACACCCTTGACTTACAGCTAATTAATTACAAGAGCCTCATAAAGTACTGTCGTTTAATTTTCTTACCAGGTCCCACAACTTGCATGTTCATTGATGCCGATTTGTGAGGTGTTTGGTTCATGTGTTCCCAATGTCTCCTGGACTCTATCAACAGGGGAAGAAATCTCTGCTCATGCTGTGTTTTCAAATGCATTTACTCTCCTTTTGAAGCTGTGGAGGTTTAATCATCCTCCTTTTGAGCATGGGGTGGGAGATGTACCCACGGTTGCATCCCGACTTACACCTGAGTACCTCCTATCTGTAAGAAACTCTTACCTAGTATCTTCCGGAAGTGCTCACCAGGATCGAAATAAGAGGAGACTCTCTGCTGTTGCAAGTTCATCATCTCCAGAACCTGTATTTGTGGACTCATTTCCAAAATTAAAAGTTTGGTATAGACAGCATCAAGCTTGTATAGCCTCAACCCTCTCTGGTCTTGTTCACGGAACCCCTGTCCATCAGATTGTTGATGGGCTTCTTAACATGATGTTCACAAAGATTAACAGAGGAAGCCAGTCTTTAACTTCTGTTAATTCTCCAAGTAGTAGTTCTTCGGGACCTGGAAATGAAGACAACTCTCTGAGACCTAAATTACCTGCCTGGGATATCCTGGAAGCTATTCCCTTTGTGGTTGATGCTGCTCTAACGGCCTGTGCTCATGGAAAACTTTCTCCTCGTGAACTTGCTACAGGTTAGCCTTGTGTTCTCATCTCATTTTCTGTTAATGGTTTGTTACTTAAATACAGCGATACCAAGGAAAATGTATGAAATAGTATTTGAATTTAATTTTTCTTAAAACTAAATCCTGAATGTTTGAATGAGTTAATACTAACTGTATCATTGAATTTCATCCAACTGGGTATTTTAGATTTTCTTGAGGTCCTATACATTTGACTTGTAGATGTAATTGAACCAAATTTATTTTTTATTTTTATGCATTACTACATGTGGCCGTCAAGTTTAAAGAGAAAAGTCATTATACCCTGGCGAAATAAATAAAATAACTGAAAATTTCTCTATTTCAGGGCTTAAGGATTTAGCAGATTTTCTTCCTGCATCTTTGGCAACCATTGTGAGCTACTTTTCCGCTGAAGTAACTCGGGGTATTTGGAAACCAGTTTTTATGAATGGAACAGATTGGCCCAGTCCGGCTGTGAATCTATCCTATGTTGAGGAACAGATTAAGAAAATCCTAGCTGCTACTGGTGTTCATGTCCCTAGCCTTGCTGCAGGTTTTCCCCTATCACGAACTTGTAACGAGAAGGAATATAAAGCTATTACATGTTTTGGGACAGATTTTCTTTTCTTTCCATTTTCCCCATATTGTTTCGTCACCTCTAGTATTTTGACTGACACTTAACTATTACAGGTGGAAGCTCTCCAGCTATACTTCCACTGCCCCTAGCTGCCTTCGTGAGTCTTACTATTACTTACAAGATTGATCGAGCATCAGAACGCTTCCTCAGTTTGGCTGGCCCCACCTTGGAGTGCCTTGCAGCTGGTTGCCCATGGCCTTGTATGCCAATTGTCGCGTCTCTTTGGACTCAAAAGGCCAAGCGATGGAGTGACTTCCTTGTCTTTTCTGCATCTCGGACTGTTTTCCTCCAGAACAGTGATTCAATGGTTCAGCTTCTTAAAAGCTGCTTTACTGCCACACTTGGCCTGAATGCCACTCCTATCTCGAGTAATGGTGGTGTTGGAGCACTTCTTGGTCATGGATTTGGTTCCCATTTCTGTGGTGGGATTTCCCCCGTTGCACCAGGGATTCTTTACCTACGTGTGTACCGATCAATTACAGATATAGTCTTCATGACAGAAGAGATTGTTACTATCTTGATGCATTCTGTAAGAGAGATAGCATGCAGTGCTCGTCCTAAAGAGAGATTAGAGAAGTCGAAGACAACAAGAAACCCAATGAGATATCAACAGGTTTCACTTGATGGAGCAATGTCTCGGATGAAACAAGCAGCTTCACTCGGGGCATCTTTAGTATGGTTAACAGGAGGCTTGTGTCTGGTTCAGTCATTGATCACAGAAACCTTGCCTTCTTGGTTTATATCTATGCATGGCTCCGAGCAGGAACAAGGGTCAGAAGGAATGGTTCCCATGCTTTGTGGCTATGCGCTTGCATACTTCGTGGTGCTCTGTGGAGCTTTTGCTTGGGGCATTGACTCCTCATCATCAGCATCAAAACGACGTCCTAAAATCCTACATATCCACATGGAGTTTCTTGCAAGTGCACTTGATGGGAATACATCACTTGGTTGTGATTCAGCAACATGGCGTGCCTATGTGTCTGGTTTTGTAACCCTCATGATCGGTTGCACACCAAATTGGGTGCTCGAGGTGGATGTAGACGTGTTAAAGAGACTCAGTAATGGTCTGAGGCAGTGGAACGAGGAAGAGCTTGCTCTGGCCTTGCTGGGGATCGGAGGTGTTGGTACAATGGGAGCGGCCGCCGAACTCATAGTCGAAAATGAGATGTAAAGTACATTCCCTCAATGCAGGTTTAAGGTTTTAGGAGGTCAGATGTAAATGTACAAAATGGTTGTAGATTAGATTTATCGTCGGAAACATCTGCAGCATTTTGTAGCAAAAAGTTACGTAGTTTTGTTCCCTGAAAAATTAGAGAGCGAAGTGCTTGTTTACACCGTCCATCTTCGTGCAAATTCTAATTTCTTTCTTTTCTCAAATAGTCCATCGGATCCGTTCATAGTACGTAGGATCTAACTGTATTAGAAAGTTTGTAGCAAATTTGTAGGTTTTGTGCACCTAATTAGAGTTATTCTTTCAATTTTTTTTTATTTTTTATAATATATTTCATATTCTTTTGTGCAATAAATTATGAATACCTAACCTTTTAAACCCAATACGAGTCGTATAATCCGGCCAAAGTACATATGTCTATTCTTAATACATCATTGACAATGTGTTGATAACGTTCAAAATTTGTAATTAATAAAATATACTGACATGTTAAGTGATGCGCATTACATTTTAGTTATCCCTAGAGAGAAGAAAAATGAATCAGCATAACTCAGTTTAATGATCTCTACAAAATTGTTCTAAATTCCCGACTTTTTTCCTCAACGATATAGAATCCAAGTGGCAATTTTACAGCCAGTTTGACTTTCTCCATGTTTGACCGCTTCAGTCTCAAGACCAAAAAAACACACATGCACATCATGCAGGGTCACAGAATGTGGAGCAAATCCAAAAGACAATCCCTCAACATTCTTCTGATTCTCCACCACCCGAAATATCTCTGTCGCCGGAAACAACCCGAAACACTGGCCATTGTGACCGAGAAATGGGGGATTCCGAACCGAGCAGCCTCTGGGATGTTGTGATAATGCAGACCAAGGAGGCTCAAGAAAAGGGTAGTGATCCTCTTCTTTGGTCGATTGAAGTCTCGTCGAATTTGGCCTCTGCCGGGGTGTCCCTGCCATCTATAGAGCTCGCCGACGTTTTGGTTTCACATATTTGTTGGGAAAACAACGTGCCGATTATGTGGAAGTTTCTTGAGAAGGCCTTGGTTTTCAACATGGTGCCCTCCATGCTTGTTCTTGCTTTGCTTTCTTCCAGGTCCGTGTTTCTGTTTTGATTTAAGGATTGAATGGTCGATATATCAAAACATAATGACATGATATTGGCACATTATCGACAATATCAATACAAATCCTATCTTAAACAATATACATTATGCTCAAAGAATTCTCGCAAGATTAGACTTTGTAGTTGTACTTTGTTGAATGAAAACTGTTCATGTGTTACACTTTCATGTACAAATAAAACCCATGTTCCACCCTATTTGATATCATTGTGATAGCATGTCAGCAATAAAACGTATTGATATGATGTTGATAAATTATCAACAATATCGATACAAATTCGTTATTTATAAAGGATTGACATTCTGCATAGAGAATTCCAGTAACGTAAATAAACTCTATAGTTGCTTCTTTGATTTCCATAGGGTTATTCCGAATCGACGTGTCCAGCCAATAGCATATAGGCTTTACATGGAGCTCCTCAAGAGACATGCCTTTTCCCTCAGATCTCAAATAAAAGGGCCTAGTTATCAACAGTGAGTTTCTAATTTCATCACTTGTATTGATGAAAAAAAAAAGCCGTTTACATTGTCTTAGAAAAAAAACTGACTGAAAGCCTGTTTGGGAGTGATTCTGGAAGTGACAAAAGCACTTCTCATGTGCTACTATCATAAATGATTCTAGCCCTCCCAAAATCAGTTCCAAACGGGCACTTAGTGTATAATGTAAATGTTTTTTATGAAATTTTGTTGTACCCTATTTTTTTTTGGGCATTGCAATATATAACTTATCTTCTCCATACAGGGTTATGATATCAATAGATACTATTCTTAATTTGTCCCAGACATTTGGGTTGCAAACAACCGAAGCTGGGACTACTGTGGTTGCGTTCATCTTCTCAACCGTGTGGCAGTTGCTCGATTCATCGTTAGACGATGAGGGGTTACTGGAACTTGCTCCGGGAAAGAAGTCCATATGGCCAACTAAACCCCAAGACATGGACATAGACGGTCTCGAAAATCATCATGAGGAGCGGAATGAACAATATGAGAGATTGCAGAGTCGTAACACTGTGATGGCCATTGAGTTAATCGCTGAGTTTCTGCAAAATGTATTGACTTCCAAGGTTCTTAACTTGGCGAAACGAAACATGTATGTTTCCTAACAATGGAAGTAATCGTTTTACCCCCAGGCAAAGTTTTTAGTATGGGAGATTAATGCTTGATAATTTTCTGCCACATTCTCAGGCTTCAACACTGGGAAGCTTTTGTTAAGCGGATGAAACTGCTTGCCGAAAAATCATTGGCGTTGAAAAATACCAAACTTACTAGTCCTGAGGAACTTCTGAAGTTGGCTTCAAACATTTGCATGAGCTCGCAAAAATCCAAATTGCGCTCGGTGCATAAGTGCCATTCGATTATGGATTCTTCGGATGGAATATGCCATGGAACCGGTCGCTCAACCATATGGCTTCCCCTTGATCTGGTGCTAGAAGATGCCCTAAATGCTACACAGATCAATGCCACAAGTTCCATTGAGGTTATCACCGGTAAGCAGATCACTTCTTATATCGACCGTTAGCAATGTCGGAGGATATAATATTTTCTTTCTTGCTCAGGTTTGATGAAGGTCCTTCAAGCCGTAAACTGTGCAACTTGGCATGACACCTTCTTAGGCCTATGGATTGCAGCACTTCGTCTAGTCCAAAGGGTTCGATATTGTTAAACTTCTGTTGTTTCCTTGGAACACAAGTTAATCATACCTTATCAGTTTGGGCAATCGCGTTAATTGCTTCTCCTTTTTTCAGGAAAGGGAGCCTCTTGAGTCCCCTTTTCCTCACTTAGAGTCCCGCTTATGCATGTTGCTCTCTATCACCACTCTTGTGGTTGCTGGCCTTATCGAAGAAGATGAAAGCGCGAAGGTGGACACGACAGAATACAGCTTCGCCAATCACTCGAGAAAACAAAAGGTGACAGGGAAGTCGCGCGATGATTTAGTTTCCAGCTTACAAATGCTGGGAAATTTCATAGGACTGCTGGCTCCCCCTCGTTCTGTTGTTTCTGCAGCAAACCGGGCTGCTGCGAAAGCAATGATCTTCATCTCAGGGACGAGGGTTGAAAATGCACCATTGGATTTCATTGGCACGAACGACAGCTCGACGGATTGCTGTAAGTAAAACCGGAGTTACAGATTCAGATTATAAATGCAATTCTCTCTAAATCCATGTTCTTGTTTCAGCAGGAAACATGCGACATCTGATAGTCGAGGCTTGCATAGCAAGAAATCTAATAGACACGTCGGCATATTTCTGGCCGGGCTATGTGAAAGGAGGCATCAATGAAATGCCTTCTAATATACCTACTGATAAAGTTCCTGGGTGGTCCTCACTGATGCAGGGGGCAGAACTTACTCCATTGTTGACAAAGGAATTGGTTTCAATTCCTGCACCAAGGTATATACAAGCATTTATCTTTTGGCAATGCTTTATAAGAAACACTTCTACTCATAAGCGCATTCATTAAAAAAGTGCTTTTATTAGGACATTGAAAGTTAATAAAAATCCAAGGGCTTCTTGAAAAAACACTTGAAAGAATGTGCTTCTCTATGAAGCTTTTTCACATGACACCACTTTTTCAGCCAATTGTAGTCAAAGTGTTTTTGGTCATCTAAAACCACTCTAAGCCATTCTAAAAATTGAGATGATTTCTGCACTCTCATTTTTTCGTTCTGCACACCTCTATTTATTTTTGTCTCTTGATTCTCTTTGATTTATTCAATTCAAAGACTGTAAATAAACATGGGTGTGATGTGTGTGTGTAGGGAAAGAAAACGGTTGTGCGAGAATCATTTCCTCTCAAAACACTTCCAAACAAGCCCAAAACTAACTAACCGTTTGATAATCATTTCGTTTTCACTTTTCACTTTTTGAAAATTGAAATCTTGTTTAGTAACTATTTTTAGTTTTCAGAAAAATGAAACTGAAAATTACTTTCTAGAGTTTTTACTTTTTGGTTTTCAGTTTTTATACTTTTGATAACTAAAAACTGAAAGTACTTGGCAAACAAGCTTTCAGTTAAAAGAAAAAAGTAAAAACTGAAAACGAAATGGTTATCAAACCATCCCCAAATTTTCTTTTCTTTTGCGGGAGGTTATTTAAAAACATTTGTATTTCTGCCTTAGTCACACCATCAATTTCAATATCATCACTCATGTTAATGTTGGTTCAACGGCACCAATCTTCACATTATAAGTTCAAATCTCGTGTACAACAGTTAATAAAAACAATATATGTTATCCCACATGATGTGCTCCTTTTTGTGCAAACCCCTACGCCTTTGGTAAGCAATTGAATGTAAGATCATGGTTTTGGTGGAAGTTTAACAGAACTGGAGAAAATACATGAGATAGCCATCAACGGATCAGATTCTGAGAAAATATCAGCAGTTACCATTCTTTGTGGGGCCTCCCTGAATCAGGGTTGGAATATACAAGTAAATTACATTCTCGTCCTTTACCTTCTCTCTTTCAATCTTCAGATCTTCTCCATCATCATGCATTAAGGTCCGCATTTCATGCAGGAACACACTGCCCATTTTATTATTAGGTTGTTGTCTCCTCCATGTCCTGCAAATTATTCCGGCAGCGGCAGCCATCTGATCGGTTATGCTCCGTTTCTGAATGCCCTTGTTGTCGGGATATCGTCCATTGACTGCATCAAGATTTTCTCACTACTTGGCATGGTACTTTTACTTTCGTTAACCTAAATGATGTTATTTAGGCGAAAATTGATGTCGTTCGGTTTTGGTAATGCTGTTGCCAGGTTCCACAACTAGCATGCTCAGTGATGGCGATCTGTGAGATTTTTGGGTCATGTGTACCTAATGAAACTTGGAGTAGCACAGCAGGGACAGAAACCTCTGCTCATGCTGTGTTTTCTAATGGATTCACTCTTATTTTGAAACTGTGGAGGTTTAATCATTGCTTTTCAGACCAACTAGGATACGTTCCAACTGTTCAACCCAACCTTACTCCCGAATACTTTCTGTTAGTACGAAACTCCCACCTAGTATCCTCTGAAAAGGTCCGCCAGGATCCTGAGAAAAGGAGACTTGCAGCAGTTTCAAGCTCATCATCTGCACACCCCATCTTCATTGATTCATTCCCGAAATTAAAAGCCTGGTACATGCAGCATAATGCTTGCATAGCTTCCACCCTCCCTGGACTCGCCCATGGAAACCCTGTTCATCGCCATGTTGATGAGCTTTTAAACATGATGTTCAAAGACAAAGAACAAGGAATAGATTCTAATGCTTCTGTTAGTGGTAGTCCGTCTAAAGAAGCAGACGAAGATACTTATTTAAGAAACTCTGCAGCTTGGGATATTCTGGCAGCTGTTCCGTTTGTAGCTGATGCTGCTTTAACAGCTTGTAACCATGGGAGACTCACTCCCCGAAAACTGGCGACAGGTGAGTAAAGTACCCGTTTATAATTACCTATAATTGGATTCATCTTCACTGAAAGGAACCTACTCAAAAGTAGTCTTAAGTATCTCTTTTTGTGTGTGTGTGTGCGCTAGCATTATCTGCTGTCTAGGAAACCTAAGAGGCAAACTGTACTTCAGAACCGATCTGACGTGTTTTTGAAGTCACTGCAATTACTTGGCCTTACATATGTGTACTACTAAAATCCTAGATGCTCTGTTGTCTTAGGGCTTAAAGTCTTGGTTGACTTTCTTCCTGCATCTTTGGGAACCATTGTGAGCTACTTATCAGCTGAAATACGAAGGGGTGTTTGGAAACCAGCTTATATGAACGGAACAGATTGGCCCTGTCCTGATGCAAATCTGCCAAATATTGTGGAGAAGATTAAAATAATTGTAGCTGCCACTTCTGTTGACGTCCCAAGCACTGCTCCTTCAGGTTTCTTATTTTTCAACATTACGTAAATGTATGTGATGAATATTGTGATTCATGAACATAATTCTCTAATAGGGGCATAAACTAGAGACATTTTTCTCAATTGTTGGATATATATGGTTAAGATATGTAACATGCAGACACCGTACATATTTCTAACATAGATAACGGTTTGTTGTCACAGAAGGAAACTGTCAAGCTACATTACCGTTGCCACTGGCTGCCTTAGTAAGCCTTACTATAACGTACAAAACTGACAGAGATTCAAAAAGATACCTCGATTTATGCACCGTGGCCATGGCCTCCATTGCAGCTGGTTGCCCCTGGCCCTGCATGCCAATTGTTTTTTCACTCTGGACCCAGAAAGCAAAGCGTTGGGGCAACCACTTTGTCTTCTCTGCATCTCGTGCTGTCTTCCTCCAACACCCCAATGCTCTGATCCAGGTTCTTAAGAGCTGCTTCACTGCAACACTTGGCTTGGATTCCTCTCCTCTCTCATACAACGGAGGTATTGGAGCTCTTCTTGCCCATGGAATTGGATCTCAAATCCATGGAAGGGTTTCTCCTGTTGCCCCTGGGATCCTCTATCTACATGTTTATCCATATTTATCGGACATTGTCTTCTTGAATAAAGAGATTGTTTCCCTCATGATGTATTCTGTGAGAGAGATAACAGGAAGACAGGTTCCTACCGAGAGATGCAAGAGACTGAAGGCAGCAAAGAATGCAATGATAAAAGGACAATATCACATGGCTTCAAACCTCACTCGGGGTAAACTTATGGCTTCACTTGCGGCTTCTTTAGTATGGTTATCTGGAGGCTTAGATCTGGTTCAGTCATTGTTTAAAGAATTTCTGCCTTCATGGTTTGTATCTATCCACAGTTTCAGACAGGATGGAGAATCAAACGGAGATGCATGGTTAAGGGGTTATGTGCTTGCTTACTTTGCATCACTGTGTGGAGGCTTTGTATGGGGTATTGACTCATCATCCTGGGGATCCAAGCGGCGTCCAAAGATTCTTGGAACCCACATGGAATTTCTTGCAAGTGCACTAGATGGTCAGATATCTCTTGGCTGTGACCAGATCACCTGGCGCGCGTATGTCTTGGGATTCATTAGCCTCATGGTGGTTTGCATGCCGACTTGGATGCTGGACGTTGATGTAGATGCCTTGAAGAGAATCAGTAAGCGGCTGAGACAGTGGAATGAGGAGGAGCTTGCTCTAGATTTGCTGGGGATTGGTGGTGTTGATTTCATGGGTGCAGCTGCAGAAATGATAATTGAAAGCGAGCCGTAATTTATTGTTTTCCGTTTACCTTTATTCTTCCCTTCTGAAATTCAGCTTGAAAATTGTAGTTACATTTGAATGTCAAATTATTTCAATTCTTTATGGTACAAGTTGAAAGCTTTCTCTCCAGAATGATTGTATAGCAGCCCACATCTTCAAATTGACGGAAACTTTGAATATTTTAAAACCCCAGCACCCTTATCATACAACATCACTGTGCCCCGGTGATCTCTCCAGTTTTAGGCTCTGCATTGCTCGCCGCTCTGAAAAGGCTTTTTCCCACTTCCCTGCATCTGCATATAAATTGGATAGGAGAACTCTAACTGGGCCATGACATGGTTGCAACCTTGTCAAACTCTCTGCAGCCATTTCTCCTATTTCCAGATTCCCATGTGTTCTACATGCCGCCAATAGCGTGCCCCATATGACTACATCAGCCTTCATGGGCATGCTCCTTATCATTTTCTCAGCATCTCCTACTCGGCCAGCTCTTCCAAGGAGATCCACCATACAACCATAATGCTTGATATTTGGTTCTACGTTGTAAACATTTTTCATGCTCTTAAAGTACCTCTCCCCAGCCTCCACGAAGCCAGCATGGCAACATGCACTTAGGACGCCGATGAATGTGATTGAATTGAGTTTGATATTACGCTTTTGCAAGTCTGAAAATATTTCAAGGGATAACTTTGCATGTCCGTGCATGGCCAACCCACATACGATGGCATTCCATGGTGAGATTGTTGAGGTTTTATCTCGGATTTGATAGAACACCTCTAAGGCGGTATTGATACTCCCACACTTGGCATACATATCAATGAGTGCTGCACTTAGATTGTCATTGAGATGAATGGAGTTTTCAATTATGTATTCATGTGCCCATCTTGCCTCTTCCAATGTGCCTAATGTAGCAATTCCAGATAACACACTCACCATCGTAATTTCATTCGGTTGGATCCCAGTAGCTACCATTCTTTGAAGGAGTTCTAGAGCTAATTCAGGTTGATCACTCTGTGCATAACCAGAAATCATGGAACTCCATGAAAAAACATCTTTTTCAGGCATCTCATTAAACAAGGCGATTGCCTGGTTGATCATTCCATTTCTTATGTATCCTGCAATCAGGGCATTCCAAGATGCAACATGCTCCTTGATGCCCCTTTGAAACTGACGACGAGCAAGGTTCATGTCGCCGCAGCCTGCATAAAAATTGATGACTGTTGCCTGTATAAAATCATAGCAGTCAAAACCTTCCTTTACAATTGTCCCATGAAGTTGCTGACCTTCATGTACCACCTCAGAGCGCCCACAAGCCGAAATCAAATCTACAAGCATAACATCATTCGGCCCTAGCCCAGTACACAGCATTGCCCGATACATCATCAAAGCTTCACTCAACCACTCCACTTGCACATACCCGTCAATCATTGTACCCCATGAGACCACATCCTTTGCATGAATATTGTCAAACAACTCTCTAGCCAAATCGATAAGCCCAGCTTTTGCATACCCATTCAACATGACATTCCACGAAACTATATTCCTCTCAGGCATTTCACTAAACAAACTTCTCGCATCGCATACACTCGAACAACCCCAATACATGTGCAGCAAATTCGTAGAGACGAGAACAAACCCCTCAAGCTGCAACTTAATCACCAGAGCATGAAGCATTCGACTATTCCAAATACCGCCCAAATGCGAGTAAGTTGAGATCACAGTCGCCATTGTCACCTCATTCGGGATCACCCCCGCTGACCTCATATCCCTGAAAACCTCAGCGGCTTCGGTCCAACACTGATTCTGGGCAAGACCCATTATCATAGTAGTATATGAGACACATCCCTTCTCAGGCATTTTCTCAAACACCTGGCGTGCACTCTCCAAACGACCAGACTTCACATAGCCGGCAACCATAATATTACAAGACACCGGGTCCAACTTAGAGCAAGAATCGAACAGCGACTCAGCGTCGGCAACGAAGCCGCATTTGGCGTACGTGTTAATCAAGCTGTTCTTGATAAAATTGTTGGAGTCCAGTCCGGACTTCAGAACAAGGGAGTGGATTTGCTGGCCTTGGAAGGAGGCCGCGAGGGAAGAGCAGGACTTTAAAGCTGAAACCAATGCGAGCTCGTAGTCGGTTTGGGTTTGGTTGATTCTGCCGGTGAAGAAGGTACGGAGATTGTCCTCTGGGTTTTGGGTGGCGGGGGCGGCGGTAGAGAGCCATTTGAGACATGAAACGCGAAGGACTGGAAGTCCAGGGAACGATTTCGGTCTCTGAGATTGGAGCATCTGACGAGAGCATGAGACGTGTTGAGACTTGAGAGGGTAAATATAAAATGAAAGCAAAAACAATCGAAAAAGGTAGTGACTTTAGACCCAAGCTAACTTTAAATAGTTCACCCATAAAGTGGAACAATCATACACATACTGAGTCAGCAATAATTTGATATTAATCTCGTGATTTATAAACAACTTAGTGATATTTTATTTTACCATACATGTCTTATAACACGGGTGAATTGATACAACATGTCGTCATGTTGCAGTCACATTGGATAATTCATCAATTTTGAGAACAAAGGCCTTCATCCATATATCCATAGCGGTCCATTAATTCCCCCATTTGGTAGAGGTAATATAGCTTTGCAAACAAAATATCCAATCGACAATTGCTATATTTATTCTCATTCAATTCATTATGCCCTTCCGAGGGGCAACCGCTCGAGAAGGTGCTTGTCTAGACAAAGGTGGTTTCAGAAATAAAAGTGCACCGCCGGAGTATATGACTAATGTAAAAGAATTGTTTTGATTGAGAGTGAAGTCCAGAATACAAGGAATTAAAAACGAACATCTATAATTTAACTGGTAATCGAACATGTAAGGGGAACTCCGGTGGCCAAAAGCATCCTGAACAATCAGCGATGATCTCCTCCATTAAAAGCCATACCGGCCAGAGCCCTGCAAGACCAAAGAGACTTAGATAAATAATCGTCCTCAACCGTATACAATGCAGATGCAGCAGTAGATACTAGATAGCTTGCATAGTTGCAAGTAATTGCTCAATGCCACTTTCAGGGTTTAACAGAGTCATACAATCGTTACAACACAAAACTTGCCAGCCTACAAAACAATAAGTTAAGCTGCAAAGTACATAATAGTTCACCCAATAATGTACATTTGAAACCTACCGAGGGCATTGTCTTCTAACAAGGTAAGACAAGCTGCAAATAACTAAAGCCATATCAAGATACACATTTTCTTTTCTTTTTCTATTTATAAGAATACGTTCCATAGCAAAACTTAAAACCAAATCAGCAGAGGAATATGTAACTGCCAGATCTATCTGAACCAGAAATGCAGCCCAAAAGGGATGATGTTAAACTGGACCAATCCTGAATGAGGACAGAGTGAAACCCTAGGTACGGTGCTAAAATTACTGGGTATATGCCCCACCCCAGCATCATTATAGTATCCTATCAGTTTATGTCGAGGACTCAAGTTTGTGCGTATACTTACTTTGTGAAGAAAAGTCATATCAAATCATGATCTATTCCACATTGTCAACCATGGTTACACTTTTCAGTAACCATTCTCAGTTACTCATGAAATAATCATTCATGACCTACACCACAAATTATACCGTAGCATTCATGCGTTTAGTACTTCAGATTATACTCACTGCTACCATTGTATTGATGTTCATCCAGCCTCTTTTCATATTCTGATTAAAAGATTTCCACAGAAATCCTATAGTAATCTGTCATGTATACCATTGAGGTTGATGTCTAGGTTATGAAACTTAGAGACCCTTAACTTTTTTACCTCAAAAACTATGGACCCAAACAAATTCTCTCCCTAATACTTCTGGAGTAGATGTGTAAAATGGGCCGTCATTAAAATCCGGCCATCTATGCTTCCTTTGGTACTTGGGAACAACATAATTGTGCCGTACTCATGCATCATATTAGTGTGGTGCCTTAATCGTGCCATATTTTTCTACACTTGTCCAGTGCCTCATCAGCTGGATTGTTTCAGTTATTTATTATAGTTCTTGTTCTTTACTTTGTTAGGGCTTTATCGTGTCAATTTTTTTGAAACAGGCCGTGTCCATACCATACTCGTACTAGCCCAGCCTGCTTATCTCTATTAAGGAGTACTCTCCCATATGATTAACAAATGTACATGCTATTTACACAGATCAATCTGAACCCAATCATAAGTCTCTTGGTGCACTATCTAAGAATGTTGTCCAACTGACAACATATACACAGGTATTACCATTAAATTCCATATTACTCAGGCTCCACTGAGCAAACAAAACATTATTCTAGCCTACATTGTTCAAAAATGCCAGATGCAATACGGCACAGCTACCTAACAGATCTAACCACGGATACAAAATGAAAAGACACATTACGCGGACATAATTTTTTAGGTGGGTGGGCAAACGAAGAAAGGTCAAACCAAAAGAAAAATTTTAATTTTCAACACAAAGGGGTCTCCCTTACCAAAAGCCTAGGTGCCTACCTTCTACAATATGCCATCACCTATACTTCTACTCTTCCAGACGGATCATCTGATTGCTTAAAGAGTTTATGTACGAGATCTCAATCTCGGACTCAAATCCAAGTCTAATGGAAGTTCATGTGATCTAAGCTCTACCTCTTCAGCCTTTAGCAATTCAATAAACCCTCCAGTACCCAGCAACAATTACTCGAAAATTTTCGTAAAATTAAGCAACCCCATTGAAGTCCAATTGTTCAATTCATAGCATCCAGTAAGTTGCTCATAAAATTGAAACTTACCCAGATCCATACAAACAACATTTACTCAATGCAATTAACTTCCATCTAATCAAGTAATCAAGAAAATGCAGGCAAGAAAGGAGAAAGAAACTCACTTCTTATGCCGACGTTTTCTCTTGGGACCCCAGCCTTCGAGCTTGGCCACCGGGCATCCGCATCGAGCCCGAAACAGCAGAACGGCACGGCCATTGGTCGGCGCCATCCGCCTCAGCTCAGTCCTGAGACACTCGTAATCGGGATTGCCCTCGCTGCCGCCCTTCCACGGCAGCCTATCGATATCTTTAGACCCGGACTTGACACACTCCTCCGATTGCAATTGCAAATCGAATTCCATAGCCTTCTTCAAGCCCTTGCACCCAGGCCTATCGCACTTCTTCGATCTAATGCCGCAGCAGAACTCGACTACGAACAGCGCGGCGGCGAAGAAGGCGACGAAGCCGACGACGTAGGGGACGGGAATGTGGTGGAGGAGGAGGTGGAGGTTGGAGTGAGAGACGAGAAGCGAGAGGGAGTTGAAGATGTAGGAGAAGTAGGAGGTGATGAGGAAGGTCCCGGAGAAGAGGACGAGGATGAGGATAAGGAGGTCGAGGGTCGCCGAGGGCGAGTGCTTGCAGAGGAGGGTGCAATTAGGGTTTGAGTTAGAGTTAGGTTTTGAGGATTTGGGTTTGGGGGCTGGGGAGAAGGAGGAGGATGACGTGGCGGCGGCTGAGAAGGAGGAGGATGAGGAGGGCATGATGGTGGTGGTGGCGAACAGAAAATGGCGCATGTTTGAGAAACACGGAGGACCGGGGTTTCCGTAATTTTCCAAATTTATTTATTTAATATTTATTTAATTTTATAAATAATATTTATTTATTTTGGAAGCATTAATGGAGGTGATGGGGGAGAAGAAGGCTTGATGGTGAAGGAGAAGATCAGTCCGCCCACGCGCCTCCTGGAGCGAGTATGGCGTGAAATGATTCCTACTTTTTTATAATTAATTTCCTAAGTATCAATCCGGGGTAATTGGTTTAAAATTTTTGTTTAAAGCAAGAGTTTATGGAATGCTTACCTAATTAAAACAAGACAAGTTACAAATCCTGGATGTTAAATGATTGACAAATCTTTCTAACATGTTTGCTTAACTGAAATGAAAAGAAAAAAAAAATCGAAGAATTTACGAGAAGTAAGAAAAAATAATCAAATCCAATGATTCTCTCTAGTTTAAGCAAGAGAAGCTCAACTCTAGTAAAAACCAAAACCATAACAAAAAAAGCGGGAGTAGGTTGTGACAGTGTTTGACCAATATTACGCCATCCGTCCGTATAATCAATATCGTTAAATAGACAGAATTTTAAACAGTTGAATGGTTCTAGAATTCAAGAGATTTTTCTGAACATTACTATTGATTCTAATCGAAGTAGTTTTCATGTTTGATAAGGTTGCAGTGCCTTGAATACTACCCTTTGGTTTTTTCTTCTTGAACTCTAAGGCACATGTTGGATTCTATGCAAAAGTTGGCGATTCGATAAGGATAGTTTGAATAAAGGGTTAAAGGTTGTAAGTACATGGCATGTGGGATAAGACTCGAAATGACTGGTCCGGAGAGAGCGTTCTGTGCGAATTACATGTGGTGAGAGTTGGATTGGCATGCAAAAATTTGCAGACATGGGATGATACTTCAAGAATCAAACTTTGACTTGGTTATCAAAAGTGAGTGCGCAAGGTTAAAATTTTTTTTAACTCAACACACAAATATCCTGCGCACATCTCGTGAAATTCTGATATTATGAGAAATCACTTAGGCGACCGATGAGCATCTTTAGTTTGGGGTAGTAGCATTACTTCAAATTTGGCTGGTCAGTGAGGAGTCATTAGTCTTCTCATTGAAATAGGTCATCTCATCAACCTTCCCGACAAAGTGAGATATTACTAGGTTGCTTGAGTGTGCGATACATTAAAAACTGAACTTCATTGATGGTGAGTTGGCACACCTGCATTCACTAAAAAGACGTAGTTAACTCTTAGTTACTCAATCTACTCACCGCATAAACTTAGTAATTTTTAGAGTCAACAAACACGAAATTCATCGATCTCACCTCGTGCTCGTCAATGATGCAGCCACGAAAGTCTTGATTTTCTTCTCGCGGATCCATCGCAGCTAATGGAGGAGAAGAAAAGAGGTCCTTCATATTTCCACGGCATACCATCCCCCAAATCAAACAAACAGATGCCGTTACCTGCCTAATTTGATTTGAAATTATGGCTATATTTTCACGTGAGACTCACATGTGTTTATCTAACAATAAAAAATAAAAAAAATGAAAGTGATTTGAACTTCAATTGTTAACGGAGCTTATCACGAGAGTTTAATTAACAAATTTTTCATTACAAAAGTCACATAAAAAGTGATTTGGTACCACAAAAATAACGAAAAAAAAAAATAGTCATATGTATTATATAGTATTAGAATTTTAGTTGACTCACATGCATTAGTTTGTTGTATGTAGTTAGTATAATTTCATTCTCATAGCCACTTCAAATTTCAAATACATCATATCTTGATATATAAAAAATATTAAACAATAAAACCGCCTTCGTACCTTCGAGGTTACTTAAAAAAACCTAAAGAAAATTAAAATTGGATTTAGATCCAAATGTTTCAATTTTTTTATTTTGCATCGAAAGACAGAAATTTATTGAATTTATTTGGTCTGAATCAAAATATTCAGTTTCTTTATTTGGTTGAATCAGAATATTTAATTGTACACTTTCCCTTGTCGTCCAAGGAAAGGAAACAAAAGTTGATTGACTTTCCTCCCCTAGCCTACTTCATTAGGGTTTAGGACTCTGAACGCACACTACACACACAAGGCACGTTCCGAAAGAGATGTGAGCGGTTCAATTCCCTCTTTGGAAGTACTTATGCCAGCTTTCGTCAGCAGAGTTACTCTCCATTCAACCGTGTAAAACAGGATTTCGTATACTATTAATTCTGATAATTTTGTGACTTTTTAAAGCTACACATGAAAAGCTTTACGGTTAATAATAAGTAATCCAATCTTCCTGACATCTTTTAGTTTCATCTCGGTAAAACAAGGAATATGTCAATGCGGTGGACCCCAAATAGTTGACTTGGGCCTAAAGAAGGGAAGGCAGGCATGATTCTTCTTCTGAGCCACTTTTACACAAAAAGAAAAAAAAAAAGAAAAAAAAAAGAAAAGAAAAGGAGCTGAAAATGTTGTATAAGTGTCTATTGCCTTCCACTCTTTTTGCCACAAGTACAAGAACAAGAAAGATTGTGACTTACTTATTCAGGGATAGCTCTATAAAGAAAAGGTTCTAGTTCGATCCACTATACTCCTATCAGCAGGATCCGTCAGTGACCCTGTGTGTCACGCCGTTTCCTCAGTACATATTAATGGAAGAAGATAGTGAGTTTTGATCAGTCGGTGAGACGGAGTACAATGGTGGAAATAATGACGAGTTGTTATGGTTTACAATTTCATGACTCAACAGAAGGAAATCTTAAGACCTAAAGAACCCGACAAGGTCGGAATATACGTATGCTGTATCATAGCCTATGCCTTAAGCTGTCTTGGCCACGCTCGAGCGCTTGTTAATTTTGGCATCTTGTTTGTACCCAAAATTACAATATCAGCCCATGCAATCAAGGTCGTAGAGTGAGCATAGCTTTACACCGTTGGATGGACAAGTGAAGATATTATTATGGTTTTTATCATAATAATTATCTTTTAATATAATTTATCTTCACATTTTCTTTATACAGGATAAATGAGATTCAAGTTATCTCCAATGGGAAGCAATAACAACAGAGTTCAAATTAACTTAGGTTTACTGGCAGTGGACGTGTAGATTGAAACAACTTGGAGTAGGAGATGAGCACGTGGGATTTGGAAAGGGATCCTTTTTAGGATCCCTTCCACCAAATCCATAAAATCCATCAATCTGGGCTCTTAAAATTTGATCAAACGACTAAAGTTATTATAACTTTCAAAGAGGGCCCTTGTTTTTAGCAGTTGAATCAAATTTCAGGGGCCCGAATTGGTGGATTTAGTGAATTTGGTGGAAGGGATCCGGAGAGGATCCCTTTCGGTGGGATTTGATGATCACCTGAAGGAAAATAATGGTCTTGGATAATGATGAGATAAGAAACCTAGGTAGGCTAGGCATTTTTGCATGGTGATGGATGCTGTCAGATGAGTTTGAAGTGACAAGAAAATGAGGATCTTCTCCGAATTCTCTTTGTGAGAATTTAGGAAATCCTCCAATCACATCCATTCATCATACATCGTGCATTAGTAATTTTAAATAAAAAAAATTTACAATAATTTCTAACCACACGATATGCGATAAACTGAAATGATTAGAAAATTCTCGAAATCCTCACAAAAAGGATCGGAAGAGGATCCTCATTCATGATAAGAATTGATGATGGGGTCACAATGCATGCCATGTGAAAGGATATTTGAGATTTCAAGGTCCTCTTGTAAAAGTCTATGGGCATAAGGAGACTAGGGAGATTTTTGCCAAAATATGTTAAAAGATAATATTAGTTATTTTGACATTGTCTTTTGGAGTATATTCGGAAAAGGTCTCTATTGGATTGGTGATCAAGGAGACTCGGCTATAAATACAAAGCTGCAAACAATGTGAAACACTCTTCAAATCAATACACAAAACTGTCATGCGTAAACTCTCACTCTACGTGAAACCTTTTAAACATCTTGAGATTTTTATTTTATTTTTTTTACGCCAACATATCTTCAGTTTGGATAAACAGCACTGCTTCGCGACTGACTAGTTATCTATCTAAGTCTCGGTCAGCGAGGATTCCTTGAGTCCTTGTTGGAAAAGGTCATCTCATTAGCTTTCTCAACAAAGTAAGGCGTTACAAGGTTACGACATCTCATTAGCATTCTAGACAAAGTGAGGTGTTACCAAGTTACGACATTTGTCACATTGAAAGCCGAATTTGATATTGAACTTCGCAGAACTAGCAACCTTGTCTTCAAGTGTAACGACCCGAAATTTCTAATTTGGAAGCAAATTACTTAGGCCTAAATTCATTTTCTTAGCAAATTTCACTAAAAGATTAATCTCAGGTATTTTATTATGGCTGCATCTAACCTTCTCGTTAGACTGCCTACGTACCCCATGAAGGGATCAAGCCATTTGTAGTTCACAAATTCAATTTCTAATTCATTTCCGAAAATCATTTAAGTGACTAACAATCACTAACTAGGTTCAACAAGTGAATCACACCAAATGCATATAAAAAATGGTTTCAGAATATCAAAATTTGCTTTAAAAGACAGCATCAGCTCACTGGCCACAAGTCGTTTCACGCGCCACCGTGATTGACAGTTGGCCGTCCCGACTCATTGGAAAATTTCAACTATTTCTAAAAATTTTCAAAAATTACAGAAATGAAAATCTCAAAGAGTAGAGCAAACTTTATACTTGCGGCCAAGTCCAATTTGGCTTGGAAAAGCTTCAATTCCGCTCACTCCCGTCGGAAAACCCTAGCATAGGTGTTTGTGAATTCGCCACCTCCGGTGCTCTGCCGCCCCTACAACTAATTGGGCTTTGTTCTAGGCCTCATGGGGAGTCTAATGGTCATGGTAATTGGTGGAAATAGCTTTAGGATTTTAGGATTTTTCGCACAACCCGTTGCACCCACCAACGGTTCTCCACCCGTTTACAACAATTTTTCTTCTAAATCGAGGGTGGAAAAGGTAGAGGAACGGGCTAGATGATGTTTGGGAGTGGTGGTTGTTGGGTTTTATGGTTCCAAATTAGGATGATGCAAAGAATTAGGTTTGTGTTACCTATTTGGTTTTGGTGTCCTATTTGGGTTTGGATTTTGACTTCTTAGTTGGTTTCCTTGGTGGAGAGATTTTGTTAATTACCTATTTGATTAGGATTTGTATTTACTTC